CTTTTACTTGTTTGAGATTCCAAGATCATCATAAAGCAGTACAGAGGAAAAAACATTAACTTTCCCACAATCTGATCAGAATTCTGATTCTTCCAATCGATAGAAGAAGAGACCAGAAGGGCCACCATTTGGCAGCAATGCCAATCTCACAGGACCTTGAGCACCTTCCTCAACAGTTGAGAATCCAGTATTATAGTTTAAATCAGTTTTGACAAAGCTAGGGCAAACACAATTAATGCAGAAACTGGGGTGTTTCTTAGCCAAAATCCTTGTGTAGGCATTCATGGCAGCTTTGGAGATACAATAGGCAGTCGTAGAATCAGGCCATCCTCCAGCTTCTAGTGATCCCTCTTTAAAATCTTTCAGATATTTGTTCACTACTTCATCCGCTCTCTCTTCTGTAAGGTTTTCAGCATCATTTAAGACTGCTCTCGCCCATTCATTTGATACATTCTGAAATAGAATCATGAAATGAACTTAATAGTTGTCAAGTGATTTTAAGTCATGCTTGGAAAAACTTTTACCTTTAACTTTCCCAGGGAGGAAGAAACATTTACAATTCTTGGTGAATCAGATAACTGGAGGAGGGGAATAAATGTTTCAGACATCCTTTTGGCACCAAAATAGTTGGTTTTGAGGCATTCTTCGGCCAACTCATATGTTTTAGTCATTATTTCACTCCAGTTGACATATTCACCCGCCCGAAGCTGAATTGATATAAGAAGAAAATTAAACTTTCTAATCCAGGCAGTTACTCTCAAAGAAAATTGTATTGGAATAGTGTTTTTGTTTTCTATGTGGCAAAGAAATCAAAGGATTATATGTAGAAGATTTACCTTACTGGCAGCAACCGTAAGAGCATCACGATCTGTTTCCGCACCAATAATTCCTGCATTGTTCACCTGCAAATGATGATTGGGGGATATGAAAATCATTCAGCAGTCATTTCATCATTTCATATGAATGAAAAATATTAGAGAATTAATTTAAGTGTTACCAAGATATCAAGCTTTCCAAATTGCCTCTTGACAAAATCTGCTAGAGAAGCAATAGTTGCAGGGTCTGCAACATCAAGCTGATGAAAAACTATGTATTCAGAGAGACCTGATTCTTTTAGCTTTTCAACAGCTTCCATACCCCTCTTCTCATCTCTAGCTGTCAAAACTACAGTCACCCCATGTGACGCCAACTGCTTGCATATTTCCAAACCAATACCTTTGTTTGCCCCAGTAACAACTGCGTACCTGAAAATGAAGGGAAAGAACAGAAGAATAAGAAAAATGGAACACCAAGAATAAGGAGAAAACTTGATTGAAGGAAAAAATAAACAAATAAATAAATAAACCTCTTCGTTGGTTCTGCCATTAATGGAGAAACTGGGATTATGAGACAAGTAGAGGCGTGAGAGGGTATATAACCATATATAGCCTTTTATAGTTGAACCGATGAGAACAAAGCTTCTTAGCGAAAAAGGCCGAGAAACGTATGTATAGTCAAACGTACGTAAAAGTCTTATGTAATTGTTTACGGCTTAATTCAATGATCCTATTTATTACCTATTAATTTAATTTTATTTTAATTTAAAAAATAATAATTTTCATTCTGAATAGATTATAAATTTTGTAAAATATTTTAAAATAGTTTAATTTTCAGAAAATCTTAATATATTGTTTAAGTGTAACAGGAGTTAAGAAAATTTTTATTAAAAATGTGATTGAATATTGTTTAAGTGTTAATTGAACCGTAAATTTTTATATATTTAATAAAAACATTAATTTTTTAAAAAATTAATGAAAAGGTATCATGTAAATCTTCACAATAACAAATTTAGGAAAAATTTTTAATATATAATTTGTGAATTTTTTTTATTTATAC